TATATGATAGAAATAATCATATGCTATATAATGTGGGGCAATACTATTATAATGGAGACTAAATTACAACTCAACCTTAGCAATCAAAGTGACAGTGAAAACAAAAAAGAAAAGAACCTGATTAATAAAGAAAATAAATGGAGCCTACAATTCCTTGTACCAAAATCAGACAATTCTAGGCCCACAATCTGCCGTCTAGCTACTTGGGCTGAAATGGGTCACCATAATAGTCCAAGTTTCCAAGACCATTCAAATTTATTTTCTTTACAAAATCAACCCATCCCTTCCATGATCCTTCTTCCTTCTCCTTCTGCCTGCCTCTGTTTTCTCCTCTTTCGTTTCCCTTCTCAAACCTATCCCTGAATGAAACTTCTTTACTTTTACTGAAAATTATCACAATTTTCACCAAATATCAAATAGGTGAAGCTGCTAATCTTAAAGAAAATATCCTTGCTCCTCTATATTAATAGGTCGATGATTACTGTTAATTTGGTCTCTGCTACTGAAGCTCACTAATTTCCAAGACGACTCAGTAAGACTTGGGCAAGTCGCATTGATATTTCATTTATCTGTGCCAACTCAGGTGATATCGGCCAATTTTGGACGAGTTGTCATGGAAATGGATAAATCAGAGTGTCGGGTGTCGGTCTCGTAGCGGCAAGCCTCGATCCAGTTATGTATCATCCGAGTCAACTCGGACTTGGATGATATGGCGAACTATGGCTGCCACCACGTCTACTCTTCATCCCATGTGCTTATCTATCTATGATTGTTATACGAATGTGGGTGCTTTGTTGAAGCTTCTCATATAAATCCCATGTTGAAGCTTCTCATATCATCCGAGTCAACTCGGACTCGGATGATATGGCGAACTATGGCTGCCACCTCTACTCTTCATCCCATGTGCTTATATCTATGATTGTTATACGAATTTGGGTGCTTTGTTGAAGCTTCTCATATAAATCCTATGTTGTACAATTTCAGGTGGTTTACCACAAGTAATTAGTACTATATTACCCCCAGAAATGGTACTATATCAGTTATTGAGACATTTCAAAATTCTAATATAATGCTAGTTTTGCACTTTAGTTGATGATCACTGCTGACTGTGAAAGCAACAGCGTTGAGCTGAGAGAAGAAAGTGAAAGCAGAGATGAAAGAGAAGAGAGTGGCAAGATAAGGGACGCTTTAGGTAATGAGAAAATTTGATATTGCTGAGGAGGACAAAACATATAGTGCAAATTTGCTCTGGCCTGGACAATAATTCATGAAATTAACACTAGCCTTTATGAAACTATATTCAAAAGTTAAGAAACCAAGATGAGAGTAGTGATTCAAATAAAATCAATGCCCAATGAGTCAGAGAAGAAGCTTGTTATCAACCAATCCTAGAAATATTAAATAGCACAAGACAAAACACCCAGTTATCTATAAAATAGGACATCAATAATTAGCCTCCTACCAAGAGAGAAAGTATCAAATTATCAGTAAAAAATAGAAAGAGTATGATATGACCTCTGAGGAGTTGTCTACCGACTCAACATTTGATTTTAAACCCTGCGCCTCAGCATGTGATCTTAAAACCTGTGGTTCAGCATGAGTTCTTGTACCCTGCAAAAATTAAAGTACATAAACTTGTCATTCACATACAACTACTTCGAGTTCAGATTAAAGTATAAGGACATCTCAGGAGCTCACCGTACTAAACTCAGATGCACTGATGGTACCATTGTCCGAAACTGAAGCCCTCGGAGATGAACCTTCCTCAGATCCCTCTCGCACAGGTGATGGTGGTTGTGGAGGTGCAACATATAAAACTCTCAACTTGATCTCCTCAACATTATGTCCTTCCTCCTTATTAAACTACAACCAAGAAATTCACATGAACCACTCTTGTTTTAATTACACACCGTGAAACATCAAATGACTCACATGCTATGATGAAATTTACCAAATCGGATGTAATATCCTTGGCCGTAGCTCCTGGACTTGCAAGTACACTTTGGACTAAGAACTTGTCCTTGCATTGCATATCCACCGGAGCCTCCTTTTGCGCTTGCATTGTTACTGACACATGTACAAATGCCAATATGTCATCCGTCTATTTCACGCATAAGAACACTCGTACACACACACACACACACACACACACACCCCAATACAAGATAATTACTTTTTTCCCTTAATACTAGTGTAAATATTAGGCTTTGAAGTTCTACATTTGAAATAATAATAAAAGAACAACCATGTAAACCAATCATTACGAGTACACTTTTTCTTTGCAATCAGATACCAATATGTCATCCATCTATTTCACACATAAGAACACTCGTACATACACACACACACACACACACACACCAATACAAGATAATTACTTTTTTCCTTTAATACTAGTGTAAATATATTAGGCTTTGAAGTTCTACATTTGAAATAATAATAAAAGAACAACCATGTAAACCAATCATTACGAGTACACTTTTTCTTTGTAATCAGAAATGACAGAGTCTCCCGATAAAGCATAGAAGTTTTTGTTACGGTAAACAAGAAATTCTTCCGAGTAGTCAGCTCCACTTTAAACACAAAATCACTCAAACCACCTTGCCTACAGCCACAAAATATACACCTATACATAAACGCAGAAAGGAAAGAGAGAGAAACCTATAACATCGCAAGTAGAGTGAGGCATGACAACTCCGGTGTTAGGCCGTACACAGTACTTCTTCGGATTGGTCGTTTTCACCTGTTCGCAACAAAATACAATAGTTTAAAAACCATGTTTCTGCTCAATTAGGGCACAAAATTCAGCAAAATATACTTGCAGGATTCTATGCGTGAAAGTAAGAATTAGTTACAAATACCTTGAACGCAACATAGTTATCACGTTTGTTGGTTAATTGCATAGAGCATGAGATCTGCTTCCTCAATTCGACTTACCAAATCAAAAAACACAGGCAAAAAAAAAATTGATTAAAGCAAAGAAAATCAAACAGCAGATCTGGAAAGTAAAATAATTTCAAAAAATTCAAGAACAATACCAAAATGGTAGCTTAAGAGCCTAGATAGAGAGAAAGAGAGATTACATGGAAACTGGAGCTCTTGAGGTTCGATTTGAAGCAATTCCTCGTTGCCCATTGTTAATACGATCCCCTATTAGCTACTTAACAGGGAAGGAACTGTTACTTTTCCGGCAGAGGTTGCGGCTAAAAGAGACTGAAAGTTGTTTCCCGGCTACCGGTGGAGACGGAACACTGGTTTTCCGACGGAAACAGAGAGAGAGACAGAGAGGGGTAATGGGCTGGAATCGATCTGGAGAGTTAGGAATAATTTTTAAGTTCTTAAATGAAGCGTAGAGAGGAAGCGTGGGACAGTCGCGTTTTGTCTGTGTGTTGGATGCCACTCGGACTTGCTCGGCTACAAGTCGTTCTATACTGCAACCGCTTTATGCCTTGTTTGGGTTGTATATTTCTAGATTTTTTTTGTAGAAAAATTCTCGTAATAATTTGATATGTGTAAGATAAAAAAATGATTGAAAAATATATTTACGAAAAACGTAACAATTTTTCTTTGAAAACTTGCAATCCAAGCACAATCTTCGCTCTTTTGTAGACTAATGTATTATCTCTTTATTTGATGAAAATGTTCAGTAGCAAGAAATAACACATGAACCACGAGTAACGTATCAAAGACAATGAAGAGAGCTTTCACATTCAGAAGAATTATCTTCTTTATTTTATACCATTTCGTGTTTTTTGGGGGGAGGCAAAAAATCTTTAGAAATTGACAACTACTATTTGAGGAATGTGATGATTCCCTTCTTGAGCAATCAATCTCTGCAACTTTTCTCCTTATTTATGAAGGTACCATTGGGTTTGGTAGTGCCTGAACCACATGCAAACAGCCCAACACGTTATAAAAGGGAGAGCTCTAACCCATAATTCCTTTGAATTTCCTTACCAACCTAATTACCACCTCCCTCGGCAAAAGCATCAAAGAATTTCTTTGCAAATTGGGCATGCAACCGTACCAAGAATAATATGTGTTCGCTTTCCACCGGGTGTTCTTTATCTCAAGTTTTTCCTCAAAAACTTAAAAGGGGAAAACGTACGATATGTATAGTGGTAAAAGCTCTGATTTAGTTAAGTCGAACTCGACTCGAATTCAATATTGATCAAACTCGAATCAAGCTTTAACTCTGAACGGCTAGATTCGTTTGCAGCCTTACTTGGACAAATTTTGTTTGGGTGAGATAAATTGCAGAAGGGGTTAGGAGAAAAATTTTTAATTTTCAATATATTGCTGATGCTACGAATTCATTACATGCTAGTACATGAAAAATATCTTAAATATGCATCAATTGGTGGTACTTTATAACATTTTGACATCATTAAAATTTTTGTTGTCTCCTACGTCATTACCTGACTATTATTCCCCTCTCACTTTTGCAGTAGAGAGCTGCGAGCGTGCGATCATAAAAGAAAAGAAATGTGCCATTATGTAGAGTCAACGACAGTTCGAAGTAAGTATCCTCTGAGTCCCAGATTGCACGTCATATTTCGATATTTCAACTTTTTAAGTACAGAGTGACTTGATACTAGTGATATTAGTGGATTTGTTTTTATAATTGTTCTTAAAAATTCAATTTTCAAGTTTGAATTTAGCATATAATGTAGATAAAGATGGAGATAACATTATTGAAAAAAATAGATCAAAAGTAATTTTAATTTTGATAAGATAATCCACAATTTAAAACACCCTAAAGTGGAAAGCATGCCACTTTCAATGGCACTAGAGAAGGGGTAAATATTCAATCCATGCTCCACCGGATATAAATATTCTTGTTCATTAAAGAATAATTTTTCTTCAATTGGATCAAGTGATGAAAATTACCGGAAAAAAAAAAAACAAGAACAGATCTTTACTGAAAGTCATCTTCAGAGATTCCTGTGTCATTTTGACCTCCAACTTCCAATTACCAAAGCTGAGATCCAGTCTCTTCGTTTCGTGTGCAGCCACAACAATTAGATAAATGTTTGGCTAGAATTGGGAGCCAAGAATCCCAAAAGAAGTTAGGACAATTGTTTTCAGTGCAAAAGGGAAAACTAGAGGAGAGAAGAAAAGTCCTACAACGAACCGACAGAGCTAGAGATTCCAAGAGCACAGGAAGATGGCCGCACAATCGCCTATTTTGGTAAAATGCACTTTCTTCTCCTTATTACCAACTTTATGGTGTGAAAGAAAACAATCATCTCAACAAATTTGTCATCTGGAATCAGCGCTTTGCTGATGCTGGTCACATGTTTTGGCCCACAAATTCCTTTGACAAACGCACTAATAGCAAGTGGAATGGGGTTCTGCCCCGTCGTAGAAAAAATTAGTCTGCCCCGTCGTAAAATGTTCAGGAACTGTTGCTGCTACAACTGTTCTTGCCTCAAATTCATCTTTGCTAAAGTGGACAGACCGCTCCACAAACTCTTGAAGGTCAACATCTTGAACAAGCAATCAAAGAAGCCGATTCAGCACACAAAAGCTTGTAAACATGGTAGAGCGGAAAATTTCATAGGTCCTTTGACAAAAGAAAAAGAAAAACTCATAGATCAGATAATTCTACAGTCTCTTTGCTGGTCAATCCCCTCTTCTCTTGCATTAATATTGGGAGATTGAAAATGTCTTTCTTAACATGGAATGAACCATTTCCCAATCAATACTCAATTGTCAAACTACATCCACGATGAGTGGAGCTAAGTATTTGCATGGTATCCAAGATGTTTACCAGTAGAAACAGAGGGCATAAACTGTAATCTCTATCCTTGAAAACGTCTGTTTTTATTACCAGCCAAAGGAGGCATATTATCTTCCTCGTTATTCCAAAAAATAGCAACCTCGTCTATATTTGTTGGGGTGTCCGTATCGTTAATATGAACAGCTAAGCAACATTAGACTAAAGAAGTGCATGTGAAAATAAACTAAATGCAAGACAAATCAAAATTAAACATCACAAGTGTAATAACTGAGACATGCATGCAATGCTTGAACATTGGTTTTCTCATGAACCAAACAAAGTATGAAGGCATATTGCCTTGCTCTACGTATACAACCTATACCAATTCAGTTGTTACTTACAATTTGCTTATGCAGCCAGCAAAACCGGCTTGGCCCTACAAACTAGTTACCACCAACAAGCACTGAAGGCTCTTTTTGACGACGATCACGAGCTGTAAAACCAGCATACCACGCAACCCTCATGAGCTGCATGCCAAGAACGAGCACCCACCAACAAACCAGTCCCCTGATGGTGTGCAACGTCCATGCTGGTGCAGTGAGCTCAGCTCCCAGCTTCAGCCCCCTCATCAGCTGCAATAACCGATAAGATTCATACACAACAGGGGTCACCAACCATACTGGCGACTGCCAGTGCCACGTAAGCATCTCTGTCAGTATTTGTACAGACAGAAGGAGAAGGTAGGGACCCAACAGAACCAAAAATGATATAGGAGGCAGAAAAGGCTGAAGCAGACCCTTTTGAGAAGCAAACATCGTCAACAGCGGAACAACAAAGCCCATTATGTTTGCAACCATGTTCCAGAACTGATAACTAACAGGAGGCCTACTGCCGAAAGCATGTCCAGAATTTTCTGGACGAGCACAAGAATCAGCTAGGAGGAGAAACAGGGATGCACCAAGATTAAAAATGCAGTCCAGTCCTGTCAATGAAAGAAGGCTGGCAATATTTGGACCGAGGAAAATTGACGAAACTGGTAACCACAAGGTGGGCACCATGCCTGTTGCTAACAGAATGGGAGGTCCCAAAAGCCACACCGTCCATCTCAGGTAGGGGAGCAGCAACATTGGCCGATGACTTGCATCCTCTTTGGAATTTTTTGCTGTAGCTTCATCAGTTTTCTCTGAATTCAGGGCTTCAAATATAGTGCCAGACTTCTGCAAGAATCTACCTTCAGCATCGCTAGCGGGAGCATACGCAATCTCCGCAGGTTCCCACGGGGTCATATTTGAAGAGCAAAGAGCAAGGCGCTTGAAGCCTCTTCTTGTTAGTGGCTTTTGGAATTTCCACAATTTCAATTGCTTATGGTGGTCAGAGGATAGACTACCCACCGATAAGAAAGATGTTGAATGGGCTAAAGTTGCCATTCCTTCTGCCACGAATGAGCTCAACAGCTAAGATGGAAAAATCCTGACACTTACCTGAATAAGAAATAAAAAAAATCTTCAGCAAGATTCAAGTATAGACTAAAATGAGAAAAGCTAACCGAGTCCATTTGCTGTATTACACAATATTTCCAGTTAAGATTCCAATGAAATCACAAGCAAAAGGTCCAAACCTCTTGGGGTGTTACAAAGAACTTACGCTACAACTCAAGGACTTTCAATGCCACAATCAGTAAAACCAGAGCACTGAAAGTATACTATTCATGTTCACCGTCACAGTGTCGACATTACCCAGAAGAAATGAGTTTGATTCCAGATTTGATGCTTTGAAACAATCATTTAGTCAATTAAAGGAAAAAAGTAAACCTCAACATAGTGTCCAAGCTGATAAAGAAATAGGAAGAAATCGACAAAGTTAGGATTTAGGATGAATTAAAATATAAATGGTTAGCCAAAAGGAACTTGATAGTCATTTTCAGATATACTGTAAAGATAATCATAGAAAATACAACACCATTCTATCATTGTATCTCAATCTATTCTCGAGTTCATTTGCTTCCAGCCCCTGTTTAAGATTGCCTACCAAGGAAGTTCCGGTTGTTGTCCACGGTTTTCCCCAATCAAGCTGAACTACATGACTCCACCATTTGGCTTAAAGAAGTACAGGACCAACAAAGTGATCTTTAACGAAGCAAAGAAGCTCAGTCATCGAACAGGAAAAAATAGTTGAAACAGGGAGGCACATGACCGTCTACTTTCTTATAAACTAATGGCTTTCGCTTTTACGAATCCAACAAAGATTTCGCAATTTTTATTAGACCCGTTTTTTAATATAAACCATAAGAGGTTGAAATTTCTTATCAATTAAATCACTCGAAGGCAAGCAGAAACATCTCAAGCAAATTCACGCAATCCCAGAACCTCAAAGATCAAACATAATAGATAAATTCTATGAAAACCAAATCCACGCCTAATTTCCTTATTGGTGAAATCTTTTTTTTTTTTAAAGAATTTTCTGAAACTAGATGCACTCAATCAAGAAGTAGATCCAAAAGATAGTAACAAAGCTTTTTTCTGGAACCCATGAGAATCATGTCATCATTTTGGACCCAAGAAATTATTATGTAAATCACCTATAGTTTGCATTTTCAAAGATTCTTTGGTTTTCCTATAGTTTGAAACTACCAAAACCTCCACCAAGATTATTGTATGATACGTTTTTACTGGAAAAGAAATTAAGTAATGTTTGCCTAAGATGAACTGGGGATCAGATAGAATAAAAAGCAACCAGCTATATGCTAAAACCAGTCAAACTCTTTATGGGTTCTGTGTCCAATTAATCAGGTAGGAAATCAGAGAAGCCAAGAAACCAAGATTCAGATAAAGATACCGGAATAGTAATTAGCAACTAGGAAGTGAAAGCAAAGAGAAAGTACCATCGAGAGGTTAACCATTTCTACAATCTACCCAGTGGCAGTGAGGTGGGACTTGGGAGAACCAGAAGAAGGCCTGGTTATTTCCTAGTAATTGTCGGAATCAAATATCCTAATGACAAGTAAATGACGTTTTAGGACTGCAAATGAGCAAATGCCTCCGTGGAAATAAATGGGCTCACTTTCAACTTTTAAGCAGCATTTTTTATTGGGCCTTGAATCCGTGTGACAATTAATTGAGCCCAGAAAGGGTGGAAAAATGTAAATTACACGCAAAGAAGTTGCGAAGTAGATTACTCACGAAGAAGTTGAAATACATTAGGACAAAAACCAGGCCAAAAAATCCCCTTGTCCCTCAATGCGTCTTAAATCCCATGACTCCTAACCCTTCCCTGTTGCCAAAAAAAAAAAAAAAAAAGAACAGACAAAAAAGGCGTAATCTATTGAAGCACTTAAATTTTATCTCCAACATCCAATTTAATTGGCAAGAACATTAATTAGGCGATCGTGAAATTCGCGATTCGACTCTTAAATTCTTTTCTTTCCTTCTTTTTATTGTAATATTTGGAATCTCCTTTGAGCTCCAAAAAAAAAAAAAAAGTATTTTGAAGGACCAACATCAGACTATTTAGGCCATAGGAGACCTATTTTGAGAACGATGTGCCAAAACCAAATAAAATTGTAACAGCTATAGTGTACATTAGCAATTATGCTTTGCTTCCCATTCTAGGTTCTTCAAGTCCAGAAGAGTCCCGTGAAAAATTTTGATAAGCGTAGATGCAATATGAACGTCGCGGGGTTGCATGCATGGGGCTGCCTTAATTTTTACCCCGTCAAGAGAACCACCTTTTATTCTGGTTGTCACAAAACATTGAAAAAAAAAAAGAAAAGAAAAGAAAAGAGAGGCACGTCCAACATCAATGTTTATTGGTCTTATCTCCATTATCATTACACTCTCTATGCGGTTAGGAATAACTCTCTCTAATCTTGGGGTCTTGGCTCGCCAAACGATCAAGGATAAGATAATAATTGAAGATTGCAGAAAGAACTGGTTTAGCACATGCTGTAAAACATTTTTGAGAAGTGTCTGATTGAAATCAAGGCATTTTATAAATCTGTAGTGATTTAGTCAAATATCATTGGTCTAATGATGACTTGGCCACTAATAACTATCGGCTAATCAGAACATTAATTCGTGTTTGTCTCTCTAATCACTAGCCAGAATCTTTATGGTTGTTTCTTCGAATGAGCTTCTCTTGGTATTTTATCTCTGCTTATATATATATATTTTATACTTCAATTGATAAAAACAACAGCCGGTTAATTTAATTCCCTTGTCCAATTAGTCCATCTGTATGAAAATGTTAGGTTTCTTTGCTCGGCTTATGAGCCTCCATCGAGGATGGCTATGGAATTCACTTCACTACTTACGCAAACAATTTCTTTAACAAAGGCCAAAATCAACATTTGCATAAATCCACGGTCCACACCGTTAATTCACTCATCAAATTTTGGAAACAACTTGTATCTCATTTCCTTTTAACCCTTCACGCAACAAAAGAATTTTTGAGTATTGTTAGGGGTCTCACATTCCTTGGCTGCATTTACGGCAACATTGCTGAGAAGGGCGTGTGGCTTGTACTAAAAATCTAAAGGGATAATTTTATAAACCTCCTCTCAAGTTTCTGATAATTTCACTTAAATTCCCTTTAATTTTAAATATTATACCGACCTCCATTGATATTCTGAGTTAGTAAAAATAGCTTTTACCTTTCTCACTATTTTACATGAAAAAAACTTGTACTTTTAAAAGAGAAAAAATAGGGGAAAAATCAGAAAAAACTCATTGCAAAAATTTTTGTAACATCTTATTGAAAGTAGCTTTTACCTTTCTCACTATTTTACATGAAAAAACTTGTACTTTTAAAAGAGAAAAAATAGGAAAAAAAATCAGAAAAAAACTCATTGGAAAAATTTTTGTAACATCTTAAAATAATTACCAATTGAAACAGCTTATTTTAGTGAATTTTTTTTGTTATGGATTTTACTGAAAGTGATTTATATGGTATACCAAAAGACGTGATTTGTTTTTTTGACTAGTAGCCTACATTGGATTGTTGGAACATCTCTATGTGGTTTTTTTTTTTTTTTGCTTTTTTCTTTTTTTAATTTGATAAAACTTTGCCTTAGGAATATGATAGTAAGTAACACAGATAGAAATGTTAGTGGTGACATGGCTCTAATGGTAGAAAGAAAAGAATATTTGACAGTCCCCTGTTACTTTCTTTATTTTCTTCTCTAATTGGCAGCCTAAGGTAGTTTTGATAGAAGTGGGGACTTCTTGGTGGTTATAGAGGTAAAAGGATGGTAGTGTTGGTGGTTTTGATGGTATAGTGAAGAATGTAAAAAAGTTTTTCTTTTTTAAATCTTTTTAACAAGAAAGGTAATTTAGGTTTCCCATATAAAATTTTGTGTCTTTCTATAAATTTTGTTACCCAAACAGTAAATATAAGGGATGTTAGTGTAATTTTTTAAATTTAGAGAGGAGTTAGATGAAATTATTAAAAATCTTAAGAGGCTTCTAAAATTATCCAATTCTAAAACTCAACGGCGCTCAGACGTGCAAGCATATGCTCATTCTTATGAAGGTTTTGCGGCAAATACCGCTTATCTGGCTTTGCAATTGATTGATTCCTAATAATCAACTTGTGAAAGGTATATTCGCCGTCATAAGTGATTTAAAATCCCTGTCTAAATTAGAGGTCGAGAGTTGAAACTGGCACTCTGCAATTGAAAGATCTTTGGGACTTGCACATATACTAATAAATATATGACAATCTGAAAAATGACCAACCTATTTCCTACCGGGACGGGGGAGGTCAGGGTCAGCTGTACCGGAAATGGGGCAGAAACGGTTGACAGAGACAATCGTTCCTGAAGGTGGCTCAAAAATTTGTGCGGCTCAGATTACAACATGTAACTCGATTTTCACGTCATGTGTGGGGCCCACAAAAAATTGTTCTAAAGTTATTTCATGTGTAAAGAAAGTTACGCGCTGTACAAAAAATGTTACGCGCTGTTGAAAAATGCACAAATCGGCCCCTTGTCCAGCTATCCCTACCCCATCCTCTTTCTAAATAGGAAAAGGGTTAAATTATTCAGCTCTAGCTATTATCATCGATCGTAACATGCACTGAAATTATATGTCATTTACAAGAATACTTACAAATTCCTCACCAGTGGCGGATTTACACTGGGGGCACTGGGCTCTTTAAATTCCTATGATACCTATAAAAATTTGATGTAATTTTAACTGTACTTCCTGAAATTTTGTGTATCTATTGGTTTATAGGTCCCCACTGTCCCTCTTAAATTTCTATAATACCTATAAAAATTTGATGTAATTTCAAGTGTGCCCCTTGGAGTTGTGTATCTATTGGTTTATATGCTTTTAAAGTTGTCTTTGATTTTACCTGTTGTTACAACTACCGTAAAAAGGGTTTTTCAATAATGAATATAGTGAAAAATCGGTTACAAAATAAAATGGAAGACACTTGGATGACTAATTGTTTAGTTACTTATATTAAGAAAAATATACTTCGAGAAATTCAAAATAAAAAGGTTGTAAACCGTTATCAAAATATGAAAACTCGTCATGAGCAATTGTAAATGGTTTAGTTTGCTTTTGAAATAAAATTATTATTACATTAATAATTTTGAGTTTGTTTTTTGATATTTTTCAAGAAATATATGCATCATTTGTACTTATTGGTGAATATTTTTTTCCTTAAAAAACTAAAAAAAATAGTAGGTAAAAAATTTTAGAGTTGCTTTTGCCCCCATTGAAAATTTTTTGTGGCTCTGCCCCTGTTCCTCACTAATATAATTTTGAATGAAATTCAATTACATACCTTTTATAAAAAATGATTTGCTTTTGTCAACTAAACTAATATATGTTGGCGGGGCTAGCCATCCTTGATCGTGCCTAGGAAGGGTAAACATAACAAGTCTTTTACCTGAAAAAAAAAAAGAACATAAAAAAATCAAAATTAAATCTCCAATTTTTTACATCCCACTCTTTTCTTGCTTAAAATTTTTCTTTTAAAAAAAAAAAGAGAAAGAAACAATTTACCAGGAAACACAAGCTACAACTAATCGTTGTTTTACATATTTATCTAAATTTCACACAATATTGAAGTGTACAACAACTCAACTGATAGAAGTATTGAATCTTAATATTTAGATTAATCGATATTAAAATGGCCAAAGATGATAATTACAAGCAATTCTTACACTTTAGATGCTGATTTGGAAAAGCGACAATGAGCTTAGATGGCGAGTGAGAAATTGAAAAATTTTCACCCACCAACGGAGAACTTCCTCTCAAGTTCAAGGGTTACATACAGGTCCTACGCACTATGGGAGGATTTCCAGAGTCTTGATGATCCTACGTACAAAGTGACGTCATCAGAGGGTTTTACATGGGTCCTGCGCACTAAGGGAAGACATCGGAGTTGCATGTGTGTCTTATGTACCATGGGAGGATGGTGGCAAAAAGGGTTTCTGATGCTAAAAGGGGTGAACATTCCCTGCCACATTGCCGATGAGTTTGCGTCCAGCAGAAAATTCTTGGGAGTGCAAGGTGAAATTGGGTGGTTTAATAATAGAAGCAGGAGTTTTTGCGCGTTTTGTTTAGATTGCGGATCCTGTTTTTTGGACTTGGCATATGATTCCAAGCTCGACGACCAAAAAAGGGATCAATTAGACTAACAACAGCATACAAACACAACCGTACTTTCTCCCGACTCCGTTGTCTGTATGACATACAATGATAGAGCCAAGGGGGGCAGAAGGGGGCCATGGCCCCCCTAAGTTTTGAAAATTTTAATTCATAATATGTAAATATATGTGTAAAATAAAATTGGCCCCCCCTAAATTTTTATAATTTTAGTTTATATTATGAGAGTTGATATATATATATATATATATATATATATATATATATGAATTAGTCATATTTGAATGGAATGGCTTGCAAGCTTTTAATTTGACATGAATGTCCATATGCCTATTACATTCATTGTTTGGCTTATAGGTTTCAACTTGCTTTATTTGCAGTTTCTAGAGAAGTAGCTTCTGTTCACCAATTCTTCTCCAATTTAGT